TAGGCTCTAGAGTAGACCCTAAGGTCTGGCTCTAGGAGAGGATCCTAAAGTCTAGAGTGGATCCTAGGATCTAGAATTAATCTAGAGATTGGAAGGGCTTTAGTGACCTCATACAAAAATGAGGTCAACAACAATTTAAATCCAATTTTGAAGGGTATGTTATTATTGGATAAAGCTGGTATACCTTATAAACGTTATGGTTGATCTGCTTTGTTGTGTTTCTGCTACTCTGTCGTTCTTTGGCAAGCTAGTTTCATTTTTTAAGTGTCACTATAGGGAAATCATCTATTTCCGGCGGTTTTTCGGCGGTTAAGTTACCGCTGGTAAAAACGGCGTAGGAAAATAAATTCCGGCGGTTTTTACCGGCGGCAATTTATTCCGGCGGCTTTCTAGAGGTTATAAAAATAGAAATAAAAAAAATTAATAGAAAATAAAAATTAACTAACTAATTAATTTTAAAACAAAAATTAAATAAATTATTAATATAAGTTTTAATAATTTTTTGTTAAACCATTTAAATAGTAAAAATTTTATTCATTTTCATTAAATTTTTAAAAGGCGCTGGAAAAATGAAAAAGTTGCCGGAAGTTCCGCCGGAAAATTCCTTGGGAAAAAGCCATCGGAAATGCGACGAAAAGCCGCTAGAAATGTGGCCGCCGGAAAGCCGCCGGAAAATTCCGCCGGAAATCAGTGATTTTCCTGTAGTGTGTTTTTTCATTCATATCTGGTGGCTCAGAGTTTTGTTTGGCATTTTACTTCAATTTCTAAAATGTTTGTTAGTTTTCAGTGTTTTCTTATGGTGATGTACTTGGATGTTGTTATGGTGAGCTGCTTGACTGTTTTTGAGTCTGCATCATTCTCTTTCTTTGCCAGTATCTACAGGTGCAGGGACTGGTATAAATTGGATTTGTTGAGTGTTGGGTTTCCGGATCTTTAATTTCTAAACAATGGACTAATATTTATGTTTGGTCTAATTTTGAAATTTGTATGACTTTTGGGAGGACTTATATATGGTTAAATGATATCTTTTATGCCCTTCATACCAAGCTTCATATGTTGTTTTATAACAGTTGGATTGGCTGGTCTGGGAGTTATTTTATCGATGTTATTTATCTGATTTGTAGGGTTTTCCTGTATGTGACTGGTAAGGAGTTTTGCAATTTCAGGCAGATCTTTCTGTCTTTTTTGGTTGGCTTTTTTATGTTATGTTTTCACAAGGAGAATAGTGGGTTTCTAGGTTTTATCTGTTGTTATTTCCCTCTCACATTTTTTTGGAGGATCCCTTGCAGGTATAATTTCAAGTATCGGGATTTGAGCATAAATGAATGCAAGGTATCCTTATTTTATTTACTGCATTTCCTTTTCTATTATTCTTATCTTTGTTTGCAGGAGAGCTATGCTGAATGGGTATCTTATGCTCCTTTTTTTGGGTGTTGTTGTCTCACAGCCTGAGAATTTACTTAGGTTTTTTTTTGTAATCGTAGGATAAAGATCCACTGGCTCACAGGTTTTTATTTTTCTTTTCATTTTGTAGCTCTTTCGAGCAGTAGTGAGCTGGAGGATCTTTCTAAGGACTGTATAACCGTATTTTTGAAATTAACACGTAGGCCCCTCTGTGGGTTTTAAAAAAAAAAAAAAAAAGAAGAGAGTTTGATCTAGCATTCGAAAGATATATTGGGGTCTAGATTATCTCAAAGATGATAAAAGATATATAAGGAGATCATAGTCAAAGTGGTGTTCACAAGATATTATTACATGTACAATACATGTAATAAAACACTTTTGGCAAACTAATGCATATTGTGAGCAGCCCATCATAAACCTCAACGTTCATATCACATTTGAAATATTCCTACAGTAGATGAAGCATAAAACAAATTCAATTTGTTAGTTTAATCAAATGTAAGAAAATCGTTATAATGCAAAGTTTGAAAGGCACTTTACGATTTTAGAAATCAGGGATTTAGCACGAAAAGGTGGAATCTTTTGTGAGATTTGATTTTTCATTTAAGGATGTTTCGCTTTTTGGGAGATTTGGTTTTGCATTTTAGGCTGTTTGCCTGGACTTCTCTCAAATCAGCCTCAAATCCGACCTAAATCCTACAGTCAAACAACCCCTTAAATGTTGAACCTTTTTTTTATTTTAGGGATTACATTAACAAAGAAGTAAGAAGAATGAGAAGAAGAGGGATAAGAAGATGAATAAGAAGAATGAGAAGAAGAAGAAGAAGAAGAAGAAAAACGGGAAGAGACTCACACTAAAGAAAGGCTAGCCAGATGTGCCTTCGGGTGAGGAGAATAACGAGCAAGATGCGAGCAAGATGTATGGTGTGCTCCTCTTCGACAGCAGCTGCGACGCTCTGTTCACTCCTCTTGACTCGCATGTAGGAACAAAGAGAGGATCGAAGACGGAGAGTAGTCGATCGAGCTTCAGTTCACGCATATAAATTGGAAATTAGGCTTCTAGCAGAGCTTCACCGACGATTAAAATAGGTGCTAATCACACCAGTTAAAACCGGTGCAATTTGCATAAAACTAGCACAATTTGCACAATTGCTAATTGCACCAATTTTAACTGGTGCTAAATTATGTTTTTGGCGGCGGTTCTAAAATCGCTCCTAACAACTGCTGCAAAAAATTCAATTTTCTAGTAGTGTCAGTTTGTGGTTGGAGGAAAAGTAACACTTGGTGGGGATAGCATATTGCATTTTTATTACTAAATTACTTATCCATAATTATAATCAGTGTTCATATGTTTCTTTTTTAGAATTCTTACTAAATTTTAGTACAAATTATGCAAATTCAATTCAAAAATATCTAGATCTGTATATATTGAATTTTTTAATAATGTGCCACATCATAAGAGAAATAAGTGTTAGTTAGTTTCACATATATATTAATAGTGATCATTTTTCATAAACTCTATTTTTTCATTTGGCATATGTAAAAAAAAAACCTCATCTTAACAAGGCATGCAATCAAATGTCCATATGTTCTTCAAAAAAAGTTTAAAGTCATCTTTAAAAAAAAAAATTCAAAAAGTCATAAAATTTCTTTTCTTTTTTTTTTTCTCTCGTAATATTTTGGTTCACATCCTCTTAACCAATGTGGATTGAATGGGAAAAAATGGAAAGACTCGAGAACAATCTCCCAACATATATCTTTCTCCTTATTACTCCTAGCTCCTTTCCCTGCCACAACTCAATAATACAAGTTGGTACTTCTCTACATATCCATACATGAAAATTTAATCTGACTCTAAATAACTGAAATAAGAATAATTATGATAAGGATAAAAAAAGTGATAAAACATTTATGAACTTTAGGCCATCAATGGAAATTGGGGTGATCATGCCATGACCAAAAGGTATTTTGATCTTCCATACCGCAGAGTAAATTGCCTAAGTTCTCTTCTGGGAGCTCTGGTCTTGTCGATGATCCATGTAAGAACTGTGACATTGTGGGCAGCGGCCGGATCGCCGGAAAAAATGATATGCTTTGAATATGATTTAGTTGGTCCGTTAATGGTCTTGAGATGTCCAAGTTGATATCTGAACTATGCTCACTTCTATTACTGCAAGATCCTTCTATGTCCTTATTCAGATTGATTAGTTCTGACCTTTCCCTACCTTTAAGAGCTAGGATCTGCCATTATAAAAACAATGAATATAATATTTAATAAAATAGGTACACAAATTTCATTTATTTTGTTGGTTTAAAATACATGAGAAATAAGAATCTAAAACTGAAAGATAATCCTCAACAAATAATTAATTAAAAGACCAGCCAAAGCTATGGTTTACCAATCATTAAGCCCATGCATCTTTCTCGAAAGACTCAGTTCTAAAGGATCTCACAGTACCAAATACAGAAGTGCAAGTGGAGTTTAAACAAAAAAATATTGAAGAAATAATTTACCTCAGCTTGGAGTTTCTTATTCTGAGACTGAAGAGAATCATTATCGGACTTGATTGCATCAAACTTTCTCTTAAGTAAATTAAAATCCTTCTCAAGTTGCTTTGTCTTCCACCTTGCCCTTCTGTTTTGAAACCATATAGCAATTTGCCTTGGCTGAAGGCCAAGAGCTCTAGATAGTTGAATCTTCCTCTCTGGTTCTATCTTGTTCCCTAGCTCAAAGCTCTTCTCAAGTGTTCTCACCTGCTCCATATTCAGCCTCCTCTTCTTCTCCCCCGGCAGTGAACTTTCGTCGGAGAGATCGTCTTCGCCCTCCGCATTACCAGAAAAGGTAACTGACCTTCTTCCCATCATTGCCACCATCCCTACTCAAAAAATAAATGATTTACACAACTAAATCAAGATGATATTCAATTTATTTTATGAAGTTAGAATCACCTCTTGAGAAGTCATGAGGATTTGAAGGGAAGAGGGGATTAAGGGAGTTCATGGTGGGGTTTTGTTCATCATGTAATTGGAGAATGAAATTAGGATGGAAGAAAGGGGAAGTTGGGATGCCATTGGAGGATGAAGCCATGTTCTCGTCTAGCGACATGGGGGAAAGGGAAAGGAAGAGGAATTAAGGGAAAGAAGAAAGTGAAAGTGGGGTGGGGAAAGAGAATGGTGAGGTGAAGGGATTTGAGCATGAAGTGAGAGATGAAGATTGATGTAAGGGCATAACAAATTTTGTACTTAAAGAGACTTTTTTATAATACAAATTTTATCTTATGAATAGCATAACATAAACTTTTAAAAAAAATATATATATTTTTTTTGGAAAATTAAGGGCCAAGCCAAATTTTTAATGATAAAAAGAGCTGGTTACATGAGTAAATTGTAGAAAACAAAATACAAAAGAGTGGAACAAATTTACAAAAGGAAGACCCACCAAGAAGGTGCAAAAGATTACACTTGTCAAAAATTGAATAAAGGAAAATAGACCACCCAAGAACCATGCGAAATAAGAGCAGCATCACAAGATGTAGGGCTCAGCAAGGAATAGATTGCACCGAATGCGCCCCGCCAAATTATTCATGAGACAATGCCAAGTCAAATAAAGTGGCAACATATGACCTTCAAAACTTTTTTACTGATCCAAAGTTTTTATAAAAATATTGTAAAAGATTAATAAGTTATTTACTGATAATTAAATTATATATATTATTTTGAATAAAGTATTATATATGTAAAATAATAAAATATTATTATGAATGAGTTAATTACAGATAAATAAGATAAATTTTAACAAATGAGAGAATATTTTTTCATATAAATCTAAATTATTTTATCATGTTAAATAAAAACAAAGTTTGAATATAATGTTTTAGTGAGAGAAAAAAAAATAAAGTGAGAGAGAGAGAGAGAGATAGAGAGAGATGGGGAAGGAATCCTAGGGACCGGATGTGTCCTGAAAGTAGCAGAGGCTGCTACCTAACACACATACAAGGCATCATGCACCTGCTTCTCTCAGTATCTCACCCTTCACATTCACACATAAGGAGAAGCACTGTAACCCTAACCCTAACCCTAATCACTGACGCCTACTCTGAAGCTGATTCTTATTGGTGGATCACTTTTGTCTTCGTGTTTTTATAAGATGTGGCCTTTCTCTAACAGTCTAACCTTTTTAAGTTCATGTTTGAGATTTTTTTTTTTCCATTTTTTTGGAATAGATATCATCATGTAAATTTTTCTGACCCATTACTTCATATTTGGATTGATCAAATTAACCAGAATTTTGAATATATTGATGATTTTATTCAACTTATAACTATATATGGATAAATATGAAAAAATATGAACACATCATGAAACAAAAATGACAACTTAAATAATAATAAAAAAATTTGGTGTTAGTTTCAATTTTCTAAATAGATAAAATTTTAGTGCTACATATGAAAATTTCCTTAAAAAAAGCAAAAATTTAAAATTTTCTCTAACTCTTTCTAACATTTTCTTACCTCTAGATGAGAAAAGTATAAGGTTAGTTAATCATTTCTAGCATTAAATTTATTAAACAACCATATTATATATATATATATATATATGACAATTTCTCATATTAAGAATATTCAGAAAATACAATCTAATGCTCTTAATTTTATTTTTTTTAGAAAAATGCTATTGAATAATAGTATGTGTTATCTAATGCGACTATCTGCCTATGATGTGGCTAGAAGAACCCCAATTGAGTGCCATGGCAAGTCCTTAGGAGTGAATGCCTTGAGCGAATCTTTAGGGTGAGCTTCTCAAGGTGAGTTCCTTTGTGAGAGATGAAGGTGCTGAATTATGCTATGAATAGTTTTATCTAAGGGTTGAGATGTTTGTGACTAACAATCTTCTGGAGTCACAAGTGATCACTTCGTCTTATGCCACATGGTACATAAATACATAGTGTCTTCCAATCTTAGATTATGCATACGTAAAGGCTATTTTTGGAATGCAAATGATATAAACTCGATCATACGGAAGAAAACTTGTAAATTTTGTTACGATTGAGAGTTATGTTTTTTTTTTTTTACTAATTTTACTTTCTGTTTATTTCACCTCTTACTTAATAGCAACTCTTTATTTTCTATTAAGGGCAAATCTTTATCTTTATTTTCATGGCAGTTGTTCTTTGAGCAAGCATAAACTGAGTGATTTTTTTTTTTGTAATGATAAGAAAGAGAGAGAGAGGAGAGATAACGCCTATTAATGCTAGATGTGACACGGACCATGGAATTTAATCCTTTGATTTTTTTTTTTTTTATAAATACCACCTCGCTTTTTGGTGAGGGGCACGTTCTCTTCATTTCTTTTTCAACATTCTCTCACTCAATTAACTTTTTCCTTAGCTGCTACAAGTATTCCCATACAAGATGCATGGATTTTTTTGAAAGGTTTCATAATATCAAATCTCCTTGATGACTGAGATGTTCGTTGATATGATCTTCTTTGGGTATTGTTACAATGACACAACCAAGATTGTCTGAGTCCCCATTAAGGATGAATATTTCAATACGTTATATGAGGACAACCTATGCTTTTCATGTGACCACTTCAAACTCGGACTGCAACTTCTCCTTTTATCTAGAGCTTTCCAAGATCCTTAAATTTTATAAATTTGTGCAAGTGCATGTTATGTAAACCCAATAATGATTATGGTGATCTTAATTTCCCATTTCCAGTGAGTGATGATCAAGTAAGGTTTCAACTTAGACATAAATGGAGGTATAAGGACTTGAACTAAATGCACGTATAGTGACTTATAGAAACTTGATTAAATACTTCAAGATGCATTGCGATATGACTCTAAGAGATAGAATCATTTATATTTTATTTTATACACACAACCCATTCAACAAATACTAACATATATGAGCCATTAAATCATTTTTATACAAATTTAATTAGATTGTGTGAATTAGGAGTGTTCAAGATAAGACAACGAAGAAGTGTTTATGAATGAATTCTTATCGCACCAAATTTCAGTTTTCTAACATACAGACAATAAAGCACCCCTGAAAAATCTTTTTTGTAATTCAATATTCCATTCTTGGAGGGCAAGGAATATTTATGTTCATGAAGGGAGAAAAATCGGTGCGGTAATGACTGCTTCTCTAGCAGTTTGTAATTCTGCAGTTTTAAATAATCGAAGATATGCTAATTCAGGTATAGAGAGTGCTAATCAACCACTTTCGTTGTTGAATTCTTGGCATTCTCCTCCACCTGATTGGATTAAAGTTAACATAGATGCTGCTCTTCAGAACTCATACAAGGCTGGAATAGGAGGTGTCTTTAGAGATCATTATGGGAGGTTTTTGTTGGCTTATGGAATTCCTCTTATTTATTGGGATGCAGCGGCTGTAGAGCTTCAAGCTATCCTTGCTCTTAAAATAGTCATCAAAGATTGGATGCTAAATTACAAAGGACTCATCATTGAAGGAGACAACATGAATGTCATCAATTTCATCAAGGCTTTAATTGGTGAACAAAGGAGGTAACGAATCATTTGACATTTCTTTTATTAAAAGATTTGATTATGTTATTTTTAACTGTGTTGATAGGAGAAGCAATAAATTAGCGGATCTTTGTGCTAACTTTACTTGTTTTAGCTCTTTTATTTGGAATGATGTGAGTGAAAGGAACATCCCTCCTTTCATCAATTTATTGGAAAGGGAGTCTGATGCTTGTAAAGAGTACTTTGTTTGTTTCTTCTTTTCAATAAAGCTTTCTTGCTTTGCCTTCAAATAAAAAAATAATAATAATAAAGCACCCCTAAAGAAGAAGTTCCCCTAATTATTTTATGTCTAATTAACACTAAAAATAATATAATAAAAAACATATCTACATAAATTAGGAAGGAAATGCAATAATTAGAAGCAATATATAGACGCACACACCTAATGATATAGTTGTGGAAGTTAAGAATGCACACTAAATACATAACTCAATTATTTATATCAATTCACGCTAATATTTTCTAAACCGACAGAGAAAATATATTAGATCTAGTATCATAATTGAAGTTTTGATTATAATTAGTTTAAAAGTTATTAAATTTATTTTGAGATAAGTGTAATACAAATCATGAATGATTTCTTGTTTTTTGCAACTCAAAGTAATCTAAATAATTTTAAAATCTTTTTAACTAAAATTTGGTGAGGATACCCTAATCCTCAAATTTTCCTCTAGAAATGACACATGATTCATTGTTCCTTAATTAAATATTAACTAAAAAAAAAACATGATTCATTGTTCCTTCAAACTTCTTTTGTTGCCTTGTTGGACATCTATATTATTAGACATGGCCAATTTCTATTGTTAGGTTGTGGCCCTTCTTTTAGCTGGCATGGTAGCATAAGGCAGCACCACTGCCAGCGCATTGCCTTTTTTGTTGGGCTGGTAATCTCAAGCAAAATTTCCTATTTCTATTTTTCTAAATGCAAGATGGCCAGCCTTTGTTTTCATATATAAAATATCTCCATTTAAAAGGGCTCTAAACAAATATATATATATATATATATATATATATATATATCTTTCTTAACATAAGTCAAATCTAATACCTTAACTTTCCTAACCGGGTCATCGAAAGGCCTCCGCTTAATGTGACCAAACCATCTAAGGCGACTCTCTCTAATCTTATCTTCCACTGGAGCAACTCCAACCTTTTCACGTATATGCTCATTTAGTATCCTATCTCTAAGGGTCAAACCACTCATCCACCTAAGCATCCTCATCTCTGCAACACTTAACTTAAAAAGGTCAAAATTCAAAACTAGAAAAAAATAAATCTAAGCCTGGATTAAACTATAATCATTAAAAAATGCATAAACTTATATGATTACTTAATTATTATATTAAGTCTGCTGACCTTTCTCGCCCAAGCCCGGAATCAAGGCCCTAGAAAAAAGGAAAAAAGAGTCAAAGAAGCTAAAATTGAAAAAAAAAAAGAATTATTGAGCTTAGTATAAGATAATTTGTATGCAAATGACTATTATAGTGACGAATATTAAATAACGTAAATACTAAACATATGCAAATTATTATTATAGTGACTAATATTAAATAATGTAAATACTAAACATATTATTAATATAGATCAATATTAAATATTAAGCCAAAAACTAAATATTAGCATAAGATTTTTCTGCATGTTTGTATGGTATAGGAAACTAA